GAGGAGGAGGAGGAGGAGGAGAAGGAGAAGGAGAAGGAGAAGAAGAAGAAGAAGAAGAAGAAGAAGAAGAAGAAGAAGAAGAAGTAGTAGAAGGGATAAAAAATATGAACAATAAAATGGCAGTAAGTACATATCTATCAGCAATTGAATCTAAAAAATCAAAATAAATGAACAAGAAATCTAATGAAAAAAACAACTAATGAATAAAATAGAACCAGAGGCATGGAAACATGGAACAGATTGATGAATCTCAGAGGGAAGGGGAAAGAGAGGGGAGCAGGAAGAGATTAACTGAAGGATTTATATGCATATATGCATTACCTATGGACACAGACAATAAATAGAGTGGTGAAGGCCTGGGGTGGGGTGGCATCCAGGTGAAGGGGGGCAATGGGGAGGGGAAAGGGGGGACATCTGTAAAACTCTCAACAATAAATAGTTTAAAAATTAAGAAAAAAAGCTCAAAAATGTTAACTATTAAAGCTATGTGATGTGTAGATGGGAGTTCATGAAACTATTCTCTCTTTACTTTTGTGTATAATTGAAAATGTCCATATAAAAGGTTTCAACACATAAGCTCAAATTATAAAATTATTTATATGCATATAATACTTTTTATTTATATATATTTATACATACATAATGTGTTTGTTTTATACTGTCAGTTAAAATATGAACAATATTTAAAACATCCAATCCCAAAAGGTCCAAATATTTAAAATAACACTCCTGATATGGTCATATAACATTACCTATATGTTAAGTATCTTTTCTATTTATTTAAATGTTAGAAAAGTTTTACTTTCTTGTGAAATCAATTATTAAGCAATTTTAAAAAGAGCTCAAAGCAGAAAATAAACTTAAAATGAAGATTATGACTCAATTTCAAACCACTAGCACACACATACTGAATGATTTCCAGTTGGCTTTGGATACTATTGGCTTGGCTTCGAGCACTGCTAGCTTTCTCAGTGAGTCCTGTTATTTCTATTTCATGTTCACTTATTAACTGCTCAATCCTGTAAAAAAAAAAGTGGTGATTGTTATTTGATACAGAAGATTATGCGTGTAAATTATGCAAAAAATTAATAATTTTCAATACTCTCAAATTTTGTTTTGGCTTTGAATATGCTGCTCTTTTTACTACAAGTGTCTAAGTCAGGTATAGAGTCCTTTATCTAAATCCTTTGGGGACCAGCTAGGTTTTGAAATTCAGAATTTTAAAAAATTTTAAAAAGGTAATAAATTATAAGGACTATATATTATATGATATCCCCAGAGAGATCTGGGGAAGTGTCCTATAGGCCAAACATATTACTAATGCAACAACAGGCTTTAAAATATTCACTAAATCATAAAGACGATAAAAAGCTTTACATTTGCTCAGGTCAGATTTGCCAACAAATGAGTGACAAAGGTTTTCTCTTTGACCAAACTTTAGTCGGGCTCCTCTGAGCCTGCGTCTCAACTAGGCCCTCCCGCCCCCCTCCACCCCCTTAATATGCCTGGGCTTAGTAAGAATCTTGCTAAGTTAGTTTAGTGAGACTCCCCTCACCCTTGATGTATCCTCTTGGCAATTTTCACCCAATGACCCCCTCACCCTGCTTCTCGCTATGAATCCTGGCTTGTCTTTGTTCTAGCAGTTGAGCCTGATCTCTCTTTAATGCAAACTCCTATGTCGGGGTTCTTGTTCCAGCATTAAGAAGGAAATCTGGAGAAGGCTGTGCGTAGATTAAATAGGAGTCCAGAGACGAAATATAATTTTGAAAGGCATTTGGGGGTCAGAGGAGCCTAGTTTAAAGGAAACTAAGATCTCCTTGTCTCAGGACCCCATGCTTTTTATTAACACAAATTGTCCTGAGGCCAGGCAGAGATATACACTTCACAGGGTCAGGGTTTCGTATACAGAGGCATAGTCAGGATGGGGGAATTAGCCTACGGATGTTCAGGTGTTTGGCCAGTAGGAGGCAATAACATATAGATTAAGATGTCCTGAGCTGTCTGGCAGCAAACAATCAATTTAATGTATCCTATTCAGGTTTGGGGAAATGCCATCAGCCCTACTGTCATGCTGGAACTGGCTTCCCACACTCCTATTTCAATAGTTTTGAATAAAATCTTCCCTACTGTTTTATGTTGTTGTTGTTTTTTAAAATATATTTTTATTGATTTCAGAGAGGAAGGGAGAGGGAGAATCATTGATTGGCTGCCTCCTGCAGGACCCACACTGGGGACTGAGCCTGCAACCTGGGCATATGCCCTGGCCAGGAATTGAACCGTGACCTCCTGGTTCATAGGTTGACGCTCAACCACTGAGCCACGTTGGCTGGGCCTTCCCTACTGTTTTAACAAGTGTCCGAATAATTTTTTTCTTTAAAAATTCACCACAAACCTATGGAAAACAAATTTCTGTGTTTCAGAGCTTCTTAGATTTTGCAATTACTGATGAGGGATTGGAGACTTGTGGTAGTTTCCCTGTGAGTCTCTAGCTCAGTCAGGCACTTACCTATCTTGATGTTGTTGAAGAAGCAGCTCTATTTTGTTCTGTGATTCAGATTTCAGTGCTTCCAGCTGATCCTCTACCTAGTTATAAAAAAAAGATGTGGATTTAGAATCCAGTAAAACTAAAGCTTGGAAAATTTAGAGATTTTTCAACTGATGGAATGCTTTACTAAGATGCAAATAGAACTAATACTTAAATTGGATACATTCTGTCACTGTATTTTATTAGATCTTTTACTTTGGCTATACTCTCATGAAGCTTTACAGGTCAATCAAGCTATTCCCTTTATTATAAGAGATCATTGTGGAAGCAACTCCATTATTTTTTAGAGTATAAAAATGAGAACTTACTTTTAAGAATTTAAAAAATTACATGCCTAATACTATTGTCTTAATAAATTTTTATATAAAATTGAAGTAGTGTTCTCACCACTTACTGGAAATATCCTCCCTTTAAGATAAGAAATCTCTGTGTCTAATTCTCTTAGGATTTTACTAATAGCTGAGCCCATGTTGCGGAAGTGGATAGTAGACAGGCTGTCGTGTTCATATATTTTCTTGCCTGAGGCTTGTTCAAAGTCAACTAGGATTGATCGGATTTCATGAAGCACTCCCTCATGACTAAGCATCATCTTTCTTAGCTGATCTATCTGTGTGTTGCTATCATTCAGCATGTCCTCCTTAAGGCTTCTAGCAGCTTCAAGTTCATGAACTGTATTTTGAAGCTGATTTTTTAAATCCTCCTGGGACTGATTCTCCCGTCGTCTATGAAATAAATAAAAGAGAAAAAATAATATTGATGAAATTCATAATCACACAAGTGGTAATATAGTACAAAGAGTAAAGCTCTAAGATAATTGCAGGTAACAGATCCCAACCTGATGTCCACCATGGCATCTCTCTCCATTTGCATCTCTTGAAGTTTTGTTTGTAAATCAATGACTGACTGCCTTAAGTAAAACTTCTGTTTCTCATGCAATTCATTGCTCTGAAAAAATAAGATGCCATGCAAATTAGTCTTTTCTTTTTAATTAAATTTATTGGGGTATCATCTATAATAATAAAAGCATAATATGAATGACCTTCCAGACAATCTTCCGGATGAAGCCAGGGCTGTGAGGGCCGAGCCCCTTGCACGAATTTCATGCATCGGGCCTCTAGTTGGTTAATAAAATCATATAGGTTTCAGGTTAGTTAATGAAATTATATAGGTTTTTATAGTACATCATGTGTTTATTGTCAAATTAGTCTTCATCAGAGGAACATATTTTCTTACAGCCAGTAATTTCCAAAATCTATATATTATTGATTTTTATTTTTATTGTTGACATTATTACAGATGTACCCATTTCACACAAACACACACACACACACACACAGACCCCTTCCCCTCTGACATCTGTCAGTCTGTTCTATATATCCATGCCTCTGTTTCTACTCTGTCTGTCAGTTTACTTTGCTCATTAGATTCCACATATAAGTGAGATAATATAGTATTTGTCTTTCTCTGACTTAGTACAATACTCTCCAGATCCATCCATGCTGTCCCCAAGGGTAAAATTTCCTTCTTTTTTTACAGCCATGTAGTATTCCATTGTGTAAATATGACACAACTTTTCTTTTTAATCATCACCAAGGATATGTTTTTATTGATTTTAGAGAGAGAAGAAGGGAGGGAGAGAGGAAGAGAGAGAGAGAGAGAACAAGAAAGAGAGAGAGATAAATGTGAGAGAGAAACATCAATTGGTTGCCTCTCACATGCACCCTGACCGGGGATCAAACCAGCAACCGAGGTATGTGCCCTGACCAGAAATCAAACCCACAGAGCCACCCAGCTAGGGCTATACCACAGCTTTTGTATCCACTCATCTACTGATGGGTACTTGGACTATTTCCAGATCTTGGCTATTGTAAACAATGCTGCTATGAACATAGGGGTGCATATATTCTTTTGAATTAGTGTTTCAAATTCTTAGGATATATTCCCAGAAGTTAGTATGTAGACTTTTCATCAGTCCAACTTTTAATACTGAAATAGAAGGCATAGACCTAATTAGCAAGTTTAACCAATAAATCCATTATGTTTTCCTTCTAGAAAGTTTAGGTTCTATTCCAAGGCATTGTGCCTCACTACCTTCCCAAACCAGCATCAGGTACTGAAAGAAAAGATTGCAACTCACTTCATTTAGTCTTTTCTGCAAATCTTTGACTTGATGTGAATATTCCTCCAAAACACGTTCGATGTGTTCTTTTCCAGGGTAAGGGATGACTTTCCTGTGAGAATCAGGTTCTACTTCATATTTAGGGAAAAGGGGGATTTGTGTCACAATCCCAGGTGCTGATGCGTTTTCAATTATTGTACCACGTATAGGTGACATAAAATATGGACTTGAAGAACCTAAATATTAAAGAATTAATTGATTAACTTATTACTAACATCATTTTGTGGCAATCATTATCTTAGATGATTCCCTTACTGTACTTTGAAGGAGCTCAAGGTCTCCTGAGGCAAATAGACAAGTGAAAGTACCCCAGAGAGAGGAGCACATGGTAAAAAGGAGGAGCAGATTAGGAAGAAGGAGGGAGTTTTACCTGATAGTGATCAAGTGATGCTTGAGCTGAATGAGCCTTGTCTGGAGGACGAGAAGAGGAAGGGCATTCCAGATAGTGGGAGCCCCATAATTATTGGCAAGGAGGCTTAAGACAGCATGGCATATTCTGGGTGAAAGGAAAGTAGTGGCCAGGTATGAAAATGAAAATGTAGGACAGATAATGAAGGGCCTTGTGGGGTCATGCCAGGGAGTTTGGATTCATCTTGAAAGCTCTGAGGAATCATTAAATGATTTGAAAGTAGGGGGTCAATATAAGTAGGTCTGCGTTTTGAAAAAGTTCTCTGGCTTCGGTGTGGAGAATGCATCAATGGGGATAAAACTGAAGGTAGAGAATCCACATAGGAAAAGGCTTTCAATGATTCAGGCAAGAAATAGCAAGGGTGTGCCCTAAAGCAGAGGCAGTGGTGACAGAAACAAAAGCATGGATTTGAGAAATACATGTGAAGTAAAAGAGAGGAAAGTGTCAAGTATTTCTCTTGGGTTTGGGCTTCAGCAACATCCAATGAGGATGTTTGGTTTGCAAATACTGAACATAGACCTGAAGTTTAGGAGTGAATCTTTGCTTCAGAGATTGGGATTTGGGAATTATCAGCATATGAATTCTAGCAAATCCTTGGTGTCAACGGGATCATCTAGGGATAGTATATAGAGTGAAAAGGGAAGAGGATCAAGAAGAGTGCTCTGAGGAAATACCAATAGTTAAAGAAAAAAAACCAAAAGAGTGAAACCCAGGAAGATTCACAGAAGACCCATAAAGGTTTGAGAGAATTATCTTCAAGACACACTGCTGGCTTGCACTAAGAGACAGAGATAGTGTGAGATAGTAAGAGGCCATTCCATAAGCAGGCTGAGAAAAGCACTCAACTGAAACTATATGCTACCTTTCATGTAAAAGAAAAGACTCAAAGTCAGACTCAAGAGTCAAAGAATGGTGCCAAGAACCATGAACAATTATTTCCAGACCAAAGAACCTAGCCTATATAATAGAAGAGAAACATGCAAATTAACCGTCCCTCTGCTACGCTCAAGCCACGCCCACACAGCCATGCCCACCAGCCAATCAGGAGCAAGCATGCCAATTAACCCAACTAAGATGGCGGCGGCCACAGAGCTGGAGCGAGCAGGAGGTTTAGGTTGCCTCCAGCGATGGAGGAAGCCAAGCTTCCCGCATGCCCTAGCAGACCTGGGCTCCGCTCAAGGCTACAAAGTTTCAATTATAGAAGATAAATAAATCCCAGAAAAAAAGAAAAAAAGGAGAGGCTGGGATCTTTGGCCGCTGGGGGTGTGTGGCCAGCCTGAAAACCGCCCTCAGCCCCTCACCCAGGCAGGCCAGGACCCCCAGTGGGGACCCCCACCATGATCCGGGACACTCTTCAGGGCAAACCAGCCGGCCCCACCCATGCACCAGGCCTCTATGCTATATAATAAAAGGGTAATATGCAAATTTACCCTAACAGCCGAATGACTGGGAATGACTGGTCACTATGACACACACTGACCACCAGGGGGCAGATGCTCAATGCAGGAGCTGCCCCCTGGTGGTCAGTGCGCTCCCACAGGGGAAGCTCTGCTCAGCCACAAGCCAGGCTGACAGCTGCCAGCACAGAGGTGGTGGCGGGAGCCTCTCCTGCCTCCTCAGCAGCACTAAGGATGTCCGATTGCAGTTTAGCCCTGCTCCCCGCTGCAAAGTGGACATCCCCCAAGGGCTCCCAGGCTGCCAGAGGGATGTCTGACTGCCAGCTTAGGCCCAATCCCCCAGGGAGCGGGCCTAAGCCAGCAGGTGGACATCCCCCAAGGGGTCCCAGACTGTGAGAGGGCACAGGCTGGGCTGAGGGCCGCCCCCCCCCCCCGCCAGTGCACAAATTTTTCTGCACCGGGCCTCTAGTATACATATAAAAGCCTAAGCAACCAACCGTTCAAACATGCAACCAGTAGCTATGATGCACACTGACCACCCGGGGGCAGATGCTCAACAGGCATAGGAACATGGAAGAGATTGATGAATCTCAGAGGGAAGGGAGGAGAGGGGAGGGAGGGAAGAGATTAACCAAAGATCTTATATGCATACTAGAGGCCTGGTGTGTGCACCAGTGGGTTCCCTCAGCCTGGCCTGCACCCTTTTGCAATCCCCGAGGATGTCGGACTTATCCCCGCAGGCCAGGCCAAGGGACCCCACTGGTGCACGAATCCATGCACTGGGCCTCTAGTATTAAATAAGACAAAGTGCACTTAAAGTTAAAAGGCACATTCTACAATATATTACTTCTATTCCTAGCCAGTTTTGCTCAGTGGATAGAACATCAGCCTGAGAACTGAAGGTGCCCAGGTTTGATTCTGGTCAAGGGCACATGCCCTGGTTGTGGGCTTGATCCCCAGTAGGGTGTGTGCAGGAGGCAGCCAATCCATGATTCTCTCTCATCATTGATGTTTCTATCTCTCTCTCCCTCTCCCTTCCGCTCTGGAATCAATAAAAATATATTTTAAAAACTATATATCTTCTAATTGTCTGATATAACACCCACTTAGATAAAACATAAATTGTGTTATATGAACGGAAATTAAAGAATTTCTGAAAAATAATACCAACGAAAACACTACACATCAGAATCTGAGATACAGTTCTGTGAATAGAAGGAGCAAGACTTAGTACCTGACTGGCTGTGAGGGTTGGTAAGAGAAAAGAAGTCAAAATGATACAGAATTCTAGCTTAGAGTCGATGAAGGAAGAGAGATGTTTAGGGAAACATGGAATGTGTTCAAGTACCTCAACATGGAAACAATTTCTAAGCCAAAAATGTAATGTTAACATATGCTAAAAAAAACCCAAAAACCCAGATATGCTATTTTTAAAAGAGTAAACAATTTCTCAAAAAGTAGACTTATACACATTCATGGCCAAGGTCTGTACCGAATAGTTAAGCATACTAAAAGCAGTAGCTTGAATGAATACTAAACTGCTTAACTCTATTTTTTCCCATTGCTTTATAAAGAACATATACCTCCATTGGATGCAATGCCACTACTTGATAAATCTTCATTATGTGATTCACAAGGTTTTTTTTCCATATTAAATATTGCTGCCTCTTCTTAGAGATCTTGAAATATGAATGCTTCCCTGTTAGGTTCTCTTAGTTCTTATCTATAAAAGACAGGGATTCAGTATTTGTTGATAAGGTATAATGTGAAAATATTTATTGAGAGGAATTGACTTTGTTCATATTTGAAATTTAGTAATAATTTTTCACCAGGAAAATATTTATACAAAAAATTGTATTATATAAAATTAAAAAATGAATAGAATCTTATTGTAAAAAGTGTTGATTTGGATGGCCAACAGGATTACTAAAGAAAACTTAAAAAAAAAATCACCCTAATACTTTAGTTAATTAAAACTCTAGTTGGGAGCAGAGGTTTTCTCTTTCTTAAGTCTCTTTCATAAAGTTACATTGTCAAATGATGGAAGAAAATATCTCCTTAGTAAAGAAGTCACAAATTAGTAAAAAAAAAAAATCACAAACCAGAAAATTAGAAATCATTAACAGAAACTGAAAGCTTCTTTGATATCAAATAGTGCTCATAATTTTAGATTAGGCCAAGAGGGGACGTCGGAGTTTGGACAACAATGGTGGTGGTCTGATTCCAAAGCTCCCCCTAATTTTCTGAAAACAACCATAAAATCAACAAAGGGAACAAATAAATAAAACCACATGGACTCCTTCCATATCTCTAGAAGACAGGGAATGCCACAACCTTCAAATTATCTGTAAGCAGAGGAAAATTTTTCCCCAAAATTTCTCCCACAGTCTGCCTACCAGCACTTTAAGCCTGTGGGTATGGAGGTGGGAGAGGAGAGGCTCAAAAGGAGCAGAGGGGAGCAGAGGGCTGAGAAGAAGCACAGACTACAGGAAGTGAATAATAAAAAAAGCTGAGACACTAAGCAAAAGTTGGAACTTGAGGTCCATGGCCCTAGCTATGCCTCAAGGGCTTGGAAGTGTGCAGGGACCAGAAATAGCAGCCTCTGAGAAGCAGTGTTTCAGGGGGAGAATCAGGTATGGAGAGAATAGGTGATCTCCACTGGAGACATGGTAGGAAGGGAAAGGAGGAAATGAGGGGGAAACTCCTTCACCAACAAAAAGAAAGCAAGATACGCCAACTCTCCTTCTACCCCTCCCATTCCACCATCACCACCCATAAAAGAAACTGCCCGGAAGAGGGCACTCTCAAACTAGGAATCCTGTTCACAAAATGAACAGACAAAAGCAGACCCCATCCATACAAAACTACTACAAAATGTATGAAAATGCTAATAAAATCTCTTCTGCTGATTAAAAGTTGTCCTCACTTCCCCACCCACTTGCTGCCCCACCAACAAACATGAATTCAAAGAAAACTAACACAACAATCCAAACTGAACTGAATATTCTCAAACAAGCATTTAGGAATATGAAAAATTACCCGTGAATCAGAAATGTAAAACTTAACAAGAGAAATGAATAAGAAACAAATAAAACTAGCAAACAAACATAAATTAAACGAGAGCTGGTTGAAATCATGAAACAAAGAAGAAAAAGACAAAATAATATCAGAAATGAAGACCAAATAACAAAGTACACAAGAGAGGACAGATTGTAATAAAAAGTTAATAAAGGCATGAAGAAAATCAGAAAAACAACCAAGAGATTGAGAACTACGACAAATAAATACAACGGGTGAGAGAAGAAGTGAATGAAATGAAAGATAAGCAAAGGAGAGTGAACATAATTGGTGTCCCTGAGGAAGAAAATCAAAACCATGACACAGAACTACTATTTAAAACTATAATCCAACAAAGTTTCCTAGAAATAAAGGAAGACCTGAATTTACACATTTTTCATACTAGGGAAAATCAACCTAGAATGATCAACTCTGAAACATATCCTAGTAAAATAATAAGATTTTAAAGGCAATGAAAAAATCCTCGGGGCCTTCAGGCAAAAAAGATGAACTACTTTACAAAGGCAAGAGAATTACAATAGCATCAGATTATTCAAAAACAACATACAAAGAAAGGCAACTATAAAGCAGCATTTTAAAGAAGTATAAGGAAAGTGCGAACAAACCAAGGACAGATATTATATGCAGCCAAGATCTCCTTCAAAAGATTCGAAGCCATAGAAAAATGGTTTTGACTGTACACTGTACACATGTGCCCTTCTGAGGAATCTACTGGAGAGGGTGAAGCTTCATCCAACCAAAAGACAACTGGCAAGTGTGGCAAAGTCTTAACTCCTTTGTGGAAAATCTTTTGGTTTTTCTGTAGGTTTTTAATTTTTCAAAATAAAATTTGGAATAAAGGTAAAGACAAGCATTAAAAAAAAAGATGACTGGGAAAACTTTACAAAACAATTTGTGGTGAACATTTAAATATTCAACTGTAGAATTGAGACTAAAACATGGCTGGGGTAGTGACATTGAAAAATAATAATATACATAGCCCAGCTGGCGTGGCTCAGTGGTTGAGTGTTGACCTATGAACCAGGTCACAGTTCAATTCCTGGTCAGGGCACATGCCTGGGTTGTGGGCTCCATTCCTAGTATGGGGCGTGCAGGAGGCAGCCGTTCAATGACTCTCTCTTATCGTTGATGTTTCTATCTCTCTCTCTCTCCCTCTCCATTCCTCTCTGAAATAAATAAAAATACATCTTAAAAAAGAATAATATACACATATATATGTGACAAAGGAGAACAGATGTAACTACAAATGGAAAGAAGAGAGGAAAGGGGGGAAAGCAGACCATTGGTTGTCAAAAGATACCATTTAAAACTGACAAATTAAATAAGGAAAAAAGGAGTTTATAAGTGCACTATAAAAAATATTACTGCAAAGGTAATCACTAGAATAAAAAAACTTCTCAAGTGGCAAAAGAATTTTAAAAAGAAAAAATAAGAAACACCAAATAAATACTGCAAATGTAATATAATACAGTAATTACACACAAAATAATGTAATAATAATATGACAAATTTTATTTATTTTTAATTTATTGCTTTTAGAGAGAGATAATATGAAAGAATTTAGGCCAAATATAACAGTCATGTCAATAAACATGAAGAAACTTAACTTGCCAATTCAAATAAAAGGATTTTCAAATAGACTCTTTAAAAAATTCAACTCTATGTTGTACACAAAAGGATATTTAAAAGGCACTGATATTAGTACAGTGATAAAGATTTGCCAGGTAAATGAAAACAATAAGAAAGCACGGATTAAAATCCTGATTCCAGACCAAGAGGTCTTCAAGCCGAAGAACAGTACATAAGATAAAGGGCACTTCAAGTTAAAAGGCACATTATAATAAATATGTTATTTGTAATTTTCTGATATAACACAACCACTTAGATAAAACATAAATTGTGTGATAGATAAGATCAGAAATTAAAGAATTTCTGAAAAATAATGCCAATGAAAACCTACACATCAGAATCTGAGATACATTAAAGTAATGAAAAGAGGAAAGTTTCTAGCCTTAAACTTTTATTTCAAAAATGAAAATAAGTGATTTAAATTTCTAACACAAAAAGGTAGATTAAAAGTAAAACAAAAAAAAAGCACATGCTAGGAAACAATAAAGATAAAAGCAGAAATTAATGAGGTAGAAAACAGGAAAATAAATAAAAGGAATGAATCAGAATCCTGATTCTTTAAAAAAAAAAAGAAAACAAAATATATAGAGACATAAACCATCAAAGTGACACAGAGAGGAACATCACATATAACATACTGCTTATCATTTTTACATTAATTCATAATTGCAAGCATACTGTTAAAAGATTTTTTTGAAACCTGTGAGCTGAAGGGAATTTATTGAACAGAATTCCTTTTTATTTTACTCACAGTTCCTCCCTTTTGATTACTGAGATGCAATCTGTCAAAACTACAATTAGATAAATTCTACCTTAATATGTTTCATACTATCAATTTTAGCAAATAAGTAGTAGGTATGAAGACATTCCATCAAGAATTATAATAATGTTAGTCAAGATTGCTAGGCAACTTAAATGTTCTAAATAGAAGAGATTATTATTTGGGGAAAAACCCTCACTTAAACAAGTTTTATCATGAATGTATAGTGTATACTTTTACTTACCCACTAAAATGATGCATTTGGGGATTCTTCAGGATGGTGAAAAACACTAAGACAATTCAAATTACTGAGTAATGTTATCATCACAAATTACAGATAGATCAAAAGCATGAAGGAATGAGCAGGGCAGGCAGAATCACATAGCCAGTATTGGGCAAGCATACCCTAATCCACTCTGCTTAATACTAAAGTTTTTGGTATCAAGCATGAAACAGAACCTATGAGCAAGATAAGCATAACTGGAACTAGTAGTTGGAAAAGAGAGAAAAGAAGAAAGGAGAAGGTTTGACTTTAGAATATCCTGATATGAAACCACACTTATTTACTTTGGCATAAGATGATGAATGAAATCAACTCATTAATTCAGTATCCACTCATAGGCAGCAGGCCATTGAAGAGTAGCAGACCCTCAGAGGGAAATATTTTTCTTGAAAAATTAATAGTTTAAAGAAGAAAGCTTATATTTAGTTAAACAATAATTATAAGGCAACATTTATTTGTAAAGAAAATGCTTAGTACTTCTACTTGTCAATGCCACTCGTTATTTTATTAACTTTACAATAGGAAATTTGTCTTTTAAAAATACTTGAATTTGGATTTTCACTATTTTAGATTGACCATATCCTCAGTTTGGTCAAATCATTCAGCGTTCCTCTACTGTCATTACACGTTAAGAACTAAAACATTATACCTAATTTCAGGCATAAATCTTATTAAATTATTAAGGATTTCGGGTAAAAGGAAGTTGTTAGCCTCAATAAATCATAAATTGTTAAAACGCTATACTTGTTGTAATGGGGATCACAACATGAATTTACATGTATTTGGTTTAAATCTCTGAGTAAAGTACAAAGATGAGATCTTGGCCTCTTCTGGTAATGCCCAAGATTAATTATGAACAATTCTGCCTGATTTAAAATTGTGACCAGATTCCCAGTGAAAGGAGTCTTATATTTCTGACAAGCAATAGTGAGGTAAAGATTCTACCTTGGTTATTCTATTGGAATGTTGCA